AAAAAAAAAAAAAAAAGAAGAAAAGAAATGGTAGCTATAGCTGTTATCATTATCATGGTGTTTATTAGTAGTCTACTATGCTATCTGTGCGCCACAGAACCACCTCATGGTGTCTATTAAATTCATTATCTGTAATAAAAATTCTGTATAAACTTAATCCTCACATTCGGTTTATTCCGGTGCACCCAAGGATTTTATTTTGTTTAAATACATACATTAGTGCGGTGCCTATAGCTCAGTGGGTAGGGCGCCGGCCACATACACAGGGACTGGTGGGTTCGAACCCAGCCCGGGCCTGCTAAACAACAATGACAACTACAACAACAAAAAAATAGCCAGGCCTTGTGGGGGCACCTGTAGTCCCAGCTACTTGGGAGGCTGAGGCAAGAGAATCTCCTAAGCCCAAGAGCTGGAGGTTGCTGTGAGCTGTGATGTCACAGCACCCTACTGAGGGCAACAAAGTGAAACTCCATCTCTAAAAATAAAAAATAAATTGTTGCATGTTTTCAAAATGACTGCGATCATGTTTATTTTTCTGCAACACTTGCTCACAAGATCAATATCAGGCGCATTCCTGTAGTTCTTTACAAATTAGAAAGCATTTCCAGAAATTTGTGGCACTCCTACAATGTGTTCATTTAATCCTCATAGCAGCCATTGTAGATGATATCATTATTATCTTCATTTTACAGATGCATAAACTGGCCAGAGCAGGTAAGTCACTTGCTCTGCTAGGAAAGGGCAGGGCCAGAGTCTGAACTCAAGTTCATCCAGTTTCAAAGTTTAACCTACCACTGTACCAGACCCTGGAATAGATGACTGTCTATCTATTACTACTACTGAATACACAGAGTAAGCAACATTCCACACGGAAGAAATACCCTTTAAAATGTATTTTTAAAGATTTGCATCCAACAGCGAAGGACTCAGGCACACAGACATGGTAGTTGTATCTTTCAGTAAATGATAGGCCAGGACTACAAATGTGAATGTGGGACATAGTAGGTGCTCAGTAAAAATTAGTTGGAAAAAATGAGTAAAATTCTGCCTGGTTATTTCAGGGAAGACTTTATATAGAAACCAAATTTTGAACTAAATCTTAAAGAATGCATGACAGTCTGCCCAACGGAAAGGGGCATGTATAGGCCAGATTTCAGAGTCAAAGAGCAGGACAGCCAGATGACAGGAAGTTGGGAGATGAGATCAGCAAGGAACAGCAAAAATTTCTTCCTTCTTTCAGATCAGTTGGTGCCTGGTGTAGTTCCTGTACCTTACAATGTTTGGAATATTCTGTTTTAGAAATCTTGACTTTATACATATTTCTATAACCTAAGAATCTTACCATTGTGAAAAAGAGCAAGGCTTCAGATGCTGAGTCTGTATGTCTTATTTTAGGTATGGAGAACTAGTCTGGGGGTGAATTGTAGTTTAGGGATGCCAGTCTGATATTATCCTTGTTTACTGTACATGTCTGGTCTGACGGGACAGGTGTATGTTCTACCAATTGTTACAATTCTCCAGTATCACTAGATAGAGATACTGATTTTCATGCAGGATTTGGGGGAAAGATTAAACAATAATGACTCTTTTTAATTTTTTTAAAGCTGTGACCCTCACCTTTTGCCTTTTGTTTGATTGATTGTCCACATGATGTTTCTGAAATTATGCTAATTTCAACAATAAAAAAAGCATGCATGGTAGGCAGCGCCTGTGACTCAGTGAGTAGAATGCCAGCCCCACATACCAAGGTGGTGGGTTCTAACCCAGCCCCAGCCAAATTGCAAATAAATAGCAGGGCATTGTGGTGGGTGCCTGTAGTCCTCGCTACATGGGAGGCTGAGGCAAGAAACTTGCGTAAGCCCAATAGCTGGAGGTTGCTGTGAGCAGTGACACCAGAGCACTCTACTGAGGGTGATAAAGTAAGACTGCCTCTAAAAAAAGAAAGAAAAAAGAATGCATGCATGGTTCTGCTCATTCTGCACAAAGACTTTGAAAATTTCTTTCCAAGACAATTTTATGAACACCACCATTCTGCCACTAAACTGCATTCCTCCAGAGTATCTTT